GACCCCTCATAGCCGCCCCCTTCCGATAGTCCCGCTCTGCCCCAGGCATCCCCAATTCAGCTGCTGCTGGTCAGTTTCAGCAGCGGCTGAATCGGGGAAGCTGGGTGCAGAGCAGCTCCAATTGTCGGGCAGCCAGAGCACTTCCGGGTTTCTGATGGTGCCGGACCATTGGATGCTGGACCAATGGAGTTTTACTGTAAAATGAGGCTTTCACTGTGGTGGCTTACAATGCGTAATATGAGGCAGGAAGATGAATAGATATCTTTGTCTGGCAAAAACCTGTTTGCCTACTTAGTCCAAGACCATCACTAAATCATATTTTCAGTACATACACACACACAACTCCTTAAATATCATCCATAAGTACATCTCGCAATGATTATCAATATTATGTATGTTTTTTTAAATTAAAAACCTCACTTGACCCTTTTTTGTTAAGTGCTATAAAAGTAATGTGTTAAGTGTAGTGAGTTTGTCAGAACTGTCAAGAGTAACTATTACAGAACAGTGGTCTGTCAGTTGGCATGGAGGTGTTAGGATCACACCAATGAGGGTAGTTGTTTGCTCATTCATGCATATGCTTTACTGGCATAATTTAGGTACCTAGACTCTTTTTAAGCATTTGCATTTCTTATCTCATGTGCAGAATTAGTAGTGGATGGAAACAGCTAAAAATTCTTAAGGGTTTAAAGGCTTAAATAGAAATGATTACAGCACAGAAATGTTTGAGAAATTCTAAAAATGTGTTAAATGAAAGATGGGCTAAGGGCCAGATTTAGCCTCCATTTTTGTGGACATAAACTGCTTTTGCAAAATGGTGTTGATGGTTACATGTAGCTACAAAAATGGAAGCCTAGTAAAGACTGACCTGAAAGTGTTCCTCTAAAAAAGTACACTAGAGGTGCAGATACTATTTTCCTGCATTTTAAAGCCACCTGTCTTTTTTTTTTCCTCCCTCTGCATTTTGTTTGGTCTTTGCAATTAACCTTGTTCATTTGAATGTTTTGTTTCTTTCAGATACCAAAACATTCAAGTCAGATGCTCAGCTACAAACTGTCTAACCATTGTCCTTCACTGGTGAAATCAAAGGAAGAAATCACTGGAAGAGAGGAACTGCACCAGGCTTCAATTTTTGGACTATACAGCAAGACTCTATTAAAATAATCAGAATTTTCACTATTAGGGCTACAATGGAGACGCTGTCCCAAGACTCTCTGCTGGAATGTCAGATTTGTTTCAATTATTATAGCCCCCGACGGAGGCCCAAGTTGCTGGACTGCAAGCATACCTGCTGTTCTGTTTGCCTTCAGCAGATGAGGACAAGCCAGAAGGACTTGAGATGTCCCTGGTGCCGAGGTGTCACTAAATTGCCCCCAGGACTTTCTGTATCTCAGCTGCCTGATGACCCAGACGTCATTGCTGTGATTGCAATTCCCCATACGTCAGAGCACACCCCGGTCTTCATCAAACTTCCAAGCAATGGGTGCTACATGTTGCCCTTGCCCATCTCCAAGGAGAGAGCGCTCTTGCCAGGAGACATTGGCTGTCGCCTCCTGCCAGGTAGTCAGCAAAAGTCTGTCACTGTGGTGACAATCCCAACTGAGCAGCAGCCCCTGCAAGGAGGGATCCCGCAGGAAGTTGGAGAGGAGGAGCAAGACAGGAGGGGTGTTGTGAAAAGCTCCACCTGGTCAGGTGTTTGCACTGTGATTTTGGTGGCATGTGTCTTGGTCTTTCTCCTGGGTATTGTCCTCCACAATATGTCTTGCATTTCTAAGCGTTTCACTGTGATTTCCTGCGGCTGAAAGGGGTCTGCTCCCAGAATACTCCAATGAGATAATGTAGGGGGTGGGAAGGAGGTGATGACAGGCTCCAGTGTGATGCACTGCAACATTGACCAATTACTCCAGAATGCTTGACACCGGACAGCTGTGTGACAATCTGAAGGCAATCCTAAAAAGCAAAACCTCTCAGAAGACCTCTCAGAAGGGTACAGAAAAAATCATAATGAGCATCTGATGGTAACAGCATTGAGGAAAACTGCATGTGTACTATCCTCAGTGATCAGATGGACGTAACTCCTAATGATTTTTATCCTGTTATGAGATTAAAGACATCTACTTAGCTGGTTATACTTTTACAGTATATGATCACTCTCTAAATGCAGTAGATTAAAATCAAAATGCTATATGTATAAGTAGAATTGAACATGAGAATCCGTGTAAGACTCATTCAAGATATTCTAATGCCAGTGCATACTATTTTTTTAATGGGAAAGAAGAGAGGGAATTGTAAAAATAAATAAATAAATCATTTAGTTGTTAGGGCTTTTTATATATCTTAAATTGCACATTAATAAGTTAGAAAGTTGCTTAATAGTTTTTAAAGGAAATATTTTACAAGCGATTGTGTTTCATATGTGAGGTGTATTTTTGTTGTATACTTTCATTTTGTTTCCACTGTAATGAAGTGTCTCTTCCAAGTGTTTTGGTAAAGCAAGATACAAGCAGTGGAGCAATAAAGTGGCCATGGAGGGCAACCTAATAGTGCAGTCAAAACCCTGCTGCGTAAGCCCCATCAAAAAGTATGGCTTTGAAGTGTAAGCATTGGACATTTTGTGTCACCTCTAGTCTGTCAGGCAGGCTTCTCAAGGCTCTGGCCTCCCTGGGGATTATTGAAGAAATGGGTTATAGAAAAGGACATGCTTCCTGCTAAAAGATTTGTTTTCTTAAAACATGGGACCATCTTTGCCTCATTGGTCATTCAAAGTTGTGTCTGAGTCACTGACAGTGTAAATTGGGAGTAACTCTGTGGATGGCTGAACAGAAATAGAGGTCTCGATGTGCCAAGCATTGTACAAATATCTAGCAGAAGACAGTCCTCATTTCCAAAGAGTTCATGTTCTAGATACATACGAGCAGCCAATAATTGGGAAGCAGGTAGAGATGGGTGTGGGACTTTCCTACGGTCACAGATAGGTCAGAGCTGGGAGCAGAACCCAGAACTCATGCTTAACCCAGTGGACCATGATGCCTCGCCTAAATTGCTGGAGTCTCACTGGTCTAAAGCCTATGGGTACAGCTACGTAGCAGCATTATTTTGGAATAACTGACTACAAGTCTTTATTTCAAAATAATGCTGAGCTGGAGGACGACTTACTCCAAACTCATGGTAACCCTCACTTCACGAGGAGTAAGGGAAGTCGAAGGAAAAGTGTTCTTCCTTCAACTTCCTCCTGTGTAAACAGCGCCAAAAGCTGACTTCACTGATTTTTTACTTCAGCTACACAATTGACATAGCTTAAGTTGCATAGCTTAATTTAGACGTACCCTATGTGAGCTCATATAGGGCCCAATTAACTCCTTTCAGTGGTAGAAACATTGTTTCCCTTAGAGCCATATTTGAAACTACCAAGAGAAAATGAATTTTTTTTTTTTTAATACTGAATGTGGAGATTACAAAGCCCATGTGACTGCTCATAAAGGGACAAACTGTAATATTTATGCTAACACCTTACTTAACAAGAACGCCCATCACGTTTTGTGGGATGCCTTGGGAATAATGTAGTCAGTATGAGTAAGAGTATCAGAATCTGATTGAAAGGATGGGTTTGTCTGAATTTTAAGGATTGGAATGGGACTTGTGGCAGAACTCTAGGGCAGTAAAAATTATTTGTTTTTCTGATTCGTTTTGTTACTGGACAATTACATGGGTATAAGCCCAATGAACAATGACCACTAATCTATTATTATTATTTCTAATTGTTAATTTGAGATCATTCAATCCCATGTAATAACCCTAGGGAACCTTGTTTCAACTGAATTAGGCTCATAAAAGTAGTCAGTGGTGTTGCACTCGTGTAACAGGAAAATTTGGCTCATTATGAACATAATTTTCATTTGAAAATAAAAACAGAGCACATATTAGGAGAATCCTAGTGCTAGATGCTTCTCCCTCCCCACCTCTCACTTAGTCTGTACTGTAAGAATGTCTTGTATATCCTTGATAGTTAAGTTAGTAAAAGTAAGCTTACATCTGAAAGTGAAGCTACTAATGTACCGTGTCTGTTTTTATCTGCTGCCATTTGTCTGGGCACAACAAAGAAAATACCCCAGAGGTGACACATGAGAGCACATGCAGAACCATATGCAGAGAACCTATTTACAAATGCTTATTATAAATATTTTGCTCCTGGACATCAGTGAAAGTGGGGGTGTAACAGGATGATTAATTCCAAACACATGCAGTATTAAAATTATTCATGTGTTTCATCATTATGTAAGAACTCTATTTTCATGTTACACGTTAACATATAATGGAGCTATAGCTCCCCACTATTTCTGACTTCATCAGACAGAGGACATACTGCCTTGCTCCTTGTAATCACTACCATTGTGGCATGTGAGGGATGTGAAATGCTTCCAGATCAGAATAGTGACACTTGACACTGATTTTGCACTGATTGACCAAAAGTGTAAATTACTAGACAAGATGCAAGATAGTGGAGTAGAAGGCCATGAGCATTCAATACTAATAACATTAGTGTTGGAATGACCATACAATGACTGATGGAAGCTCTTGACAAAATAGGTTCTCTGTTTTCAAATAATCTGTTGCATAAAAAATGCTGTGTATTCCTCTCCCTTCATGAAGAGTGTAGTTGGAAGGGTAAACCAGAAATTAGGTTAAAATGCTACACTACATAACTTATTACACAACAGGCAAACATGGGGTTTAATCTGGTATCAATGATGTAGGCATCATCTGACTAGAACACCATACTGTGTTACTTAACACAGTGCATTGTTTTGTGAGTGTGAGTTTCTTGTACTGTTAGAGCCTGCTGAAATGAGTCGCTGACCTAATTTCTGATTCCGACATTTGCCTGCTTACAGCCTTTGTCTGAGTGCAATATATAAAACCTCAAGATTTGTGAGTGAACTCCTATTCAAAAATATAATTTTATGGGGGAAGTTTCTTTTTTGCTTCAGGCAGTGTGACTATCATTTAAATATAGCAACCTTCATATCATGTTAGATCATATCGTTTTATGCTGATGAGTGCAGAAATGTGCTGTAGTATATTGCAATGTACAGTGTTAGATCATTTCTCAAGTAGGTTAACATTCAGACTTTAAAATGTAGTGTGATCTATTCCATTTTATGTTCCTCACTCCTCCAATACTTGGTATTCAGAAAGGAGACCACTATATATGGCCATGACTTTGCAAAATGTGCTAGAGCAATTATTCCCATGGAAAACATTTAAACTTATATAGTATCCCAGTTCTGCACCAATTTCATGCCAAAATGATCAGCTACATGTTGGTTCTTAATCTGTGTATCAGCAACTCTTGTGATCACACTCTGTTCTTCAAAAAGGAGAAACTTTTTTTTTAATGACACAAGTACTAGTTGAGCAAACTTTATTTGTTCTAAATCTTGCTGAGTTATTTGTACACCTGCAATTTTGGACAAATTATTCTTTTATGAAGGTATATTATTTGCTGCTTTTATTTTAAAGGTCTCTGCTTCAGTTTTTGGCCTGTGCTTTGCTGAGACACAGAAATAGGGCTCACTTTGGTAAAGTTAGTTCAGTACATTTTAAAAATTCAAAACAATGTTTTGGTCTGTGGGATTTTTTTTTTTAAAGAAAATTGTGTTGGTCATTGATAATGCTTAAATGATATGGAAAGAAGGATGAGTGATTTTTCCAAATGGAGCAATCGTGAGTCTAAAGTTTATCTTTATTAATGAAGGCTGGTATTAATAAAACATTGGCAGGAAAAGAATGAACACATCAAGTGAGTTATGGTTTCTCCAGTCCTTCACCTTAAAGTGAACAGTATATACAGTAACTCCAGAGGAGTTGCTCTGTGTTTACACTGGTGTAACCAAAGCTAGAGTTTGGCTGAGATCCTCAAGACCAATTTTAAGCATGGACTGTGGTAGGCTTTCAAAAGGAGTGTGGGAAAAATATCTGATTTAAAGTAGAAAATACATCTGTCTAGAGACCCACATAGATATTCTTTTCTGTTATATTCAAATTTTAAAATCACTTGTATTCCTTATGCAAATGAGACACGAATGGCATTAGTTTGAGCATGTGTTGCGCAGCTAGGTATGCATCATCTCCTCCCCTTCCCTCACAATCATGCTAGTGCTCCATAATCCAGATCAGCCAACTCCTAGGCTGTCTAGACTACAGGGTTATTTTGAAAAAAACATCATTTGCGCCTAGACTGCCGCCGTGTTCTTTTGAAATTAAATCGAAAGAACGCCTTTTACGAGGAAGAATGTCTTTTTTCGAAGGTGCTCTTTCAAAAAAAGGTGTTCTTGACCACAAACAAGGCTTTTTTGAAAGAGAGCATCCAGATTGCCTGGGTGCTCTTTTGGAAAAAGTGGTTTGCTTTTTTGAAAAAGTTGTGGCTATCTCTTTTGAAAAGTTTTTTTTCAAAAGATTCTTTTGAAAAAGCTTTTGAAAGATGTGTGTAGTCTAGATGTACCCCCCCAGCATCTCCCTAATATTACAGGCATAAGGTTTTTCTTGAATGGAGATTGTGCATGTAACAAATCCACTGCAAAATAAGGACACAGGACTCTGAGACCAAACAACTTATTTTTACTTGTGACTGATACCAGTGATGGCAGAACAAGGGGCCTGGGGACCGTGGCCCTTTTACTTAGCCTGTCCATTTTTTTGCCGCAGTGGACCCTGGCCCTTCTTTTTCCCCAAGGTTCAGCCCCTTCTCAGACAGGCTGACAGCTGAAGGAGTCTAGCTGGAGAACCTGTGCAGTTGTGGGAGTCATACAGACTCTCCACCTGCCTGTGGGGTCCAAGTGAGGCTCCTGGTCCATGTCCCTGCCCAGCCCAGGGCCAATGGAGGTGAAAAGTCAATATCCGCTGCCTGTGTGGCTCTTCATCCTGACCCAGCTCTGGTTAGGGGGTGGGGCTTTGGAGCAGCAGCCTGGCAATGGTAAAGAGCTGTGCAAGCAGCCATGAGAAAGCCATGACCAACCCTCTACTTGGCTATGTTGTGGGGGCCAAAAGCAGTCCCTAAAACGTGTGTCCAAGCCCCTTGTGGGGCCTTGCAAGGAAGGGGTTGGAGCAGGGATAGGCCTCTGGAGAAAGAGGAAAGATGGTACCTTGGGGCAGAGGCCCTTAAATCCTCCACTTTTGGGAAGGATCTGCCATTCCCAGTGATACATGATTTGAGTATCACTGGACTCCACTTTATCTGGATTTCTTTCCAATTGTCCTATGGTAATCTTGTGACTTGTGCATCAGTGATGGCCAGAACAAACTCCCAGACCTAAACAGATATTTGTGAATTTAAACTGTATTACAACACAGATTGTTATTTAGAAGAACTCCATTAATCAATAAATACATTTAGTGCAAGGGTGGAAAACCTCTGGCTCCCCAGCTTGCCTAGATCAGGGCCCCCGCTGCCCCACCTTCGGCCTGGAACACTAAATGTACTAGGCTGGGCCCTAAATTGGTGTGTAGTGTCTTTCTTCTCGGTCTGGGGCCATGTCAGTGAGGGTGGTTGTTTTTTGCTTTTCACTTGAGTGCGGCCTCTGACTGACGTTTCAGTGGCCCCTGACCCCCAAAGGTTCTCTACCCCTGATTTAGTGGAACACTGGTGTTAACCTTGCAGGGTACATGGTTCTGTTCTCATGCATTCCCCACAAACGAAAATTCAAACATCACTCAGGAGGCTATTGGAAGGATTCACATACCGTAAAAGACCTTAATGTAAGAGTATTTATTTAGCAGGGCAAGATTCAACTGAAATGCTGCAATGGAATTACAGCATGTAAATGACTTTTACTTTCCATTACACTGTCCTTAGGCCTGACAGCTAGGATTGTTCCTTGTTCTTTCTCTGTCATTTTAACATTTTGTATGCCATTATTGACCCAAGCCAAGCTACACCCTGCTTGTTTCACACAAAGTTGAATGGCGTGCTGATATTTCTGAAGCTGTCTTTAGCATCTTTAGCAAATGAGCAATTCTGTGTTGTCTAAGAAGTTGGAATTTAAGACCTAACACATGTCCAGGGAATGTATTTTAAAGCATTCAATTAATGCTTCCGTAAGTATCTCTATAGTTTAGATCTAAACATTAGCTGAATTTTCACGAAGTATTCTCCCAAATGCCAGAAGCATTTCACAGGGATTAGACAGGATTCACAGCTGGAAGAAACTATTTGTCCCAAGCCTATACCACTCACACATTACCTATATGCATATTGGCTTCATATTAAAGTTAGGACTTGTGTGTGCATAAGGGCACGAGCAGTGATTTTTTTTTTGGTGTGTTTATTTTAAAAAAAAAAGTGCTGGTACTCCAGGGGAAAAGTTTTTGAGCTCTGACTGGAGGTGCTGGTACTGCATCTGGAGGTGCCGGTACTGCGTCCCAGGCAGTACCATCACAAAAACATCACTGGGCATGAGGAAGAGGAGGGTATTGAAGGCGGGGGGGTGGGAGGGAGTGAGCGCTGCCATGTGTAACCCATGCACCTAGTGTGGTTCACTGTCCCCTGCAGTGGCACCTACACCACAGCAACAGCTAAGAACAAGAGACTTTTACAGCATGGGATGAGAGCCAGCTGTCTTTTTAGCTCAAAGGGTAGAGGCTCCTATACTAAGCTCCAGAGGTCCCAGGTTCAAACCTGCCTGCGTGTGTGCGAGTGAGCGCACGCACACACATACACACACACACACAGAGCAAAGCTCAGAAGTTTATCTGTTACCTAATACTGGGTGGATCATTTATAACTAAAAATGAATGAATGCTGTGTGGTTATATTGGTTGTGTTTGTACACCCTGAGGCAGCTTCTTCATTGTGGAGGAGTCCATGACTCTTCTTCTCTCTCCCTTTGTTCTAGCTGCTGCTCCCTCAACTCCTCCTGCCCCACCCAAATGCTGGGGCTTCTGGATTTTGCCCACTTTGTATCAATGTCTTCTGCACCCTGGCCAGGTGCTCAGTTCATTGGCTCCTTACCTGCTACTGTCCTGGGGTCCGTACAATGCCTGAGGTAAAATGAGGCTCTGAAATGAGGAGGGCTGGAAATGTGGGTTTTGAGAGTATTAAGAGTTCACCATATCTACATGAGCAAGCAGGGAAGGGTATTTGGGTGTGATATTGTCAGCAGCTCAGGAAATCAACATGGAGCAGGAAGTGACATGAAGACAGATGGTGATTTTTAGAGTGAAGAGACATGGAGACGGCGCAAAATTGAATGGAAGGATAATCAGGCAGTACCTTGGTACTGGATATTTGTGATAAGTGGATACATTTATCTGGCAAACTTGAGCTGAATTAGATGAGCTATTTCTGATGCATGGGAGTTAGATGACTTGTTATATCATTGCTCGAGTGGTTTGGCCAAACATTTTGAAATTCTGGTTAGTGTAGATCCTAATCCCCTTTGAGGTTTGAGACTCTGTATTTTGGAAATTGTTTCCTGCCTAATTAAAAAAACTTGCAAAGTGCCGTGGCTTGTTCTAGGGTTTTGAAAAATCAGAAATCCTGGGAATTGCATGAGTTACAAGCATGCTTCTTTTGAAAGCCAAATGTCTGGAAAGCAGATGGTCATATCCCAGTGCAAAAATAAATGACTGACAAAACTGTCAAGAAAAAGCCAGAAAAACTCCACAAAGATCTTTTGTTGTTCCTTGTTAATGTCAGTGTCATGGCTGTTGATTTAGTAAGTTATTTAATTGAAGACAAAGGCAGTATTGTACTTCACATTTGTGTATAAGAAAAAATAGGGTTATATAAGAGGGTTGGGTTTTTCTGTATTTTTTTTCAAGTTGATGTAAATGTTAATTGGAAAAAGTCAAGTAGTTACTTGCCCAAGAGTATTTCCCACCAATGTTAATGCATTTCTGATGTTATTGCAATAGTTAGGGTGATGGAAATTTTCAAAACTAACTGCCTTGACTGGTTTTGAATTTTTGTGGTGGGATCCATTAAAGAAGAATCTGAGTCTGGATCAAGATCTGAAAACTTTGTTTAACTTGTCAGGTTGCTTAACTTTAGATTCAAATTTCACTTCTCCATTCCATATCTAAGTTGTAGATAGTCACTAAAGAATTAGAAATGGATTGTCCTGTTACTATGAATAACAAGATTATTTCATATTTCTGAGATTGTGGTCAGTTTTCAGTAATACACCAGTGTTGTGGCTAGTCCTTTTTCCCTCCTGTTGATGGAATAAATGTAATAAATTATTACTTCCTTTGGAGTGGAACCACAATCTTCTTTTGTGGAAGATATGGAATTTAAGAAAGTGGAGCTGATAAGTAGATGTTCATTTTAAAAATCAATTTTGCCTGCAGTAGAAAGGTTCTGATTTCTAGTATGGGAAAGGAAGGCCCACTTGTCAAAACATTTGAGCCAATCTGCTGGCTGAATTGAATTGCGCATATCTATCTATCTATCTATCTATCCATCTAATCCATCTATCCATCTAATCTATCTATCTATCCATCTAATCTATCCATCTAATCTATCTATCCATCTAATCTATCCATCTTATCTATCTATCTATCTATCTATCTATCTATCTATCTATCTATCTATCTATCTATCTATCTATCTATCTATCTATCTATCTATCTATCTTCACATTTAAATGTGAATGGTATACACATTTGGTATAATGGACATGAATGCATCTCAAATTCTAAAATTTCTTAAATGTATTTCTTAAAGCACTTGGGGCCTGAGAGAGCTCATATGCATTGAGTTAAGCCAGTCAGATGGACTCAGGCACATACTTACAATTCAGAACATGCTTTTAGTGCTTTTCTGCTAAGGGTGGATTTAAGCATGGTCTGAGGCGCTTTATGGAATCATGCTTAGTCTTTGTTGAATGATTCTCAAATGCGTATGATAAATAGGTTTGCCTTGAAGAAACACTTTTTTAAATTTTGCAATTTAAAAGTAGAATTAACAGGTTTTTGACCGTAAATCCCATAATACAGCTGATTTATTGTAGGACAGGTTGGAAATTTTCTGATGGAATATTTTTCTACTGGAAAATGCGGATTCATTAAAATTGAAACATTTTGCAGGAATCTGTGTATCTGTTCAGCTTGTCTGCTTTTTGGGATGCTGCAAAACCAGGATTCTCATAGCCTGGATCTCCTGGCTTTTAGGCTTCCCCAGCTTCTTGTTACTGAAACTCCTCAATTTCATTCTGAGTAAGTCCAGATGGAATTTTGATTATTTTTTAAACTAAAAGTGAAAACTCTCTGCATTTCCATGGGAAGTTTTTTGAGATCATGGGTTTTTGTTGTGATTCACAACAGAATTTTTTTTTTTTTTTTTTAAAGATTGGGTTGGGGGAAGGATTGCCATCAACCAAAACTATTTTCAAACCTTTGAAGGTAAAGCTTGTACTAACATACCTTAAGTTTTTCAAAATTTGCTATATGTTCTCTTTTTAGCTGCCCATTATACATATCACGTAATGCACTCACGTCACAAATATTGTAACACAAATAACAAAGCCCTGGAGAAATAAATTTAATTCTAATGATTCTCTTGCTGAGATGAATTGCTGAGGCACTTGGTGAACATTTAGGTTGCTCTAGCTGAATCTCTGCTTAATGTTGATAGTTGCTAAATTCGTTGGCTACACTGAAGTTTCAAGTGTTTTTTCTCATCTGGATAAGACAAAACATGCCTGCTGCCTACCAGGGAGAGAAGGGTGGGAAAATGTTACCACAACATTATGCTCACCAATGGTATACACATTATTGCAACATTTGGCATGTCTGGTCAGTCATCCAGACAGGCATGCAACGCTAGCAAAGTCAAGTATCTTCTGGAATGCTGTCAAGATTAACAGTTAGTGTTGTTTTGGTTTTAAAATTATCAAAAACTGTATTTGTTGCTAGTGACATTGAATCCATCAGGCTTTTTTGGGGTGGGGAGGTGGGGAGGAGGAAGAGGCCTTTCTGCTTCTGTCTTTTTTTATAAAAGACACAAATATACACACAAATATTATTCCTCATTACATTAATACTTTTCCTTTTCTGGCCAATTTTTAGGCCCTGGATTTCTTTGTAAATTTGCCTGTTACAGCTTACCCTTTATTGACTTTGAGCTCTTGTAGTGATCTAAATGGTGTTAGTCCTGATTTTCATTTGTCAGAATAACAATCAGATCTTTTGCTTCATTAGGCTATTTCGTGAGTTTAGCTAATGACTCTAATTGATATGTAATATATGTAAAGGTAACTATCATTTTATAAATCAGAAATGAGTAGTCATTGATCAGTAAAGATCAGCCAGGTTTGTGGATACATTCCTTGTCTCCTGAAAAGACTGTTACTTTTTGTTAATAACTTAGATTTTACTTGTGGAAAAGACATTTTATATGCATTACCTGTCTACACTGCGACACTCAGGAAATAGAATTAAGATAAACTGAATTAAGATAATTTAAATTATCAATGAGTGTCCACAGAGGGATTTAATGCAGTTTAATTAATCCATTTTAAATTCATACCTATAGTTAATTTGGATTAACTTTTCTGAGCATCCTCATGTAGATAAGTCCTAAATCAGTTCTACGGGATTTGGTCCAATGGGTCTTTTGCCCGTGTAAAATAAGAAGGAATTTGGCCCATTGTCATACTAATACATATGTGGAAATGAAATATGAACTACTTATAACTTTTCTCCTGTCTAGAATCACTCTATAAGGACACTATAGATTTTACCATAGCTGGGACAGTCAAATACATCTGTGATGATATCTTTGCAGTCTTATGCTTTGTTGCTTAGTAGTTATCATAATATATATTTCACAGAAACAGTTCAGAGAAATGTGAGAACCTTACCATAAGCTTCCTTTTAGGCTATCAGATAGTTTACACCTATACCTCTATTTCAAGAAATGGAGGATGACTTTCCTTTATTTATCTCCATGCACCATGGAAAAGATAGCTCAGAAATGCCACTGCTTTGCTGAGCCGTGTATGTTATTGTGCTGCTTATATTCTATTTTGTGGTGGCTTCTAACACACCTTTTTTTTTTTTTTTTTTAACTCAAATTTCAGTAATTCATTTTCCAGTTTCCATAAAGAAATATAAGGGAAGAGTAAAACTGTTTTTAATTCAGGTCATATTTGTTCTTTCTGCTCTACAGCTTTTTAAATATTGTCAGAGAAAAGCAGTACTTGTTCCTGCTTTTCACTGTGCTTTGAATGAGCACCAGTAAGGGTATGTCTACATAGCAACATTATTTTGAAATAGCTAGAGTTATTTTGAAATAACTTAGTCCGCGTCTACACAGCAGGCAGTTATT